CTCCTAATCTTTTGTGAACTTCATTGTCAGATTTATTCTCTATTAGAACTATCATACTTATTTATGTTATGTTGATGGATGTACAAAACTACTGTATAAATTAAGTATTTATTGAGATTTGCTCATTGAACTGTTTTTTGTATACATTTATTTTTTAAAATGAATGATAAGTTCCTTTAATTAAGAAATAATTATTGCTATCAATACAACAAGCGAATTATTAAAAATTATGAATAACCCTAATATTCTTAAAGATTGAAAACTGAAACTCCTCCAATTCTCAAACAAAATAAGTATACATACTATTCACCAAGAAAATTTATTTAAACTACTTAAGCTTCATTTTTTGATTAACTTAAAAAATTTCCAACTCCTAAACCTACAGCTTATTAAACTTATCTAAAATCATTACTAGAAAATAAAATAGAAATTTAGGCTAAATAAAAATATAAATCATCCTTCACTATGCATGATATTCATGGTTAGAAAATTAACACATATAGACAAATAAAGGATACATTAAAAAATCAATCAAAACATCACTATCAAAATAAATCTGAATTCAAAATGCCTTAAAAAATAAAATAACATAATTAATCTAAATTTAATTCACCTCAAAAACTTTTTTAAGAATCAATGAAATAATTATCAATAAAAAAATTTGATAAGATTAAAGATAAAATAAAAATATATAAGTCTTCAAATAGATTATAAGTAATTGGAAGTGATAGAATAAAGAATTATGAAGATAATTTTGATGACATTGAACCTTGGAACACTTCTGAATTAAAATGATTGTTTTTTTTATTAATTTTAATTATTTCATATTTTTTTTTCAATTTGATAATTCTCTAAATTATGAAATGATGATGATCTAGAATTACGATGCTGAGAATACCGACATTATAAAATTGGGCCATTTGAGGACTCATAATTTTATATTACTCTAAAATTCTTATTAGAATTTAATACTTAACATATTATTAACTAGCTTACTGCAATGATATCTATTGATGAATATATGGATTTTAATATTAATTATAGTTAATTTATGGATTTGGTTAAGATTTTTTAGAAATTATTTTCACTGGAGTTATATTTATCTTTGATTAATTATTCTAAATTATTTATTAATGTTCTTATGGCTAAGCAATGTTATTCTATGATATTAAATAGTGATATTATATTTAAAGATTCTCTTTATTGTTGTTTGATTTATTTAGTATTTCTTAACTTCTTTTTTAAATATCAAATTCATTATTAAATTTAGTTTTTTCATATTAATTAGAAGTATTTTAGATATTTGAAGGTAATATATTCTTTAAATTTTATTCAAGTTATGTTTATCCAATATTATGATTAAATGATTAACTTCTCATTTTGAATGGGACTTTAATTTATTATTCTATTGAAATTTAATGATTAGTTTAAAAATTAGCTGTCATTTTTTTTTGAATTTATTTATTTTCTTCTTAAATAATTCCTATTTTTTTTAAATTCAATTTAGGTATTTTTGGATCCTTTTCTACATTTATTTCAGGTGGAATTATTTTCTGTAGATAATTGAGTCTTTAATTTATGTTTCTAAGGGCATTTTTAATAGATTCACAATCTAGATCTCGTCTTATATGATTATATATACTTACTCTTAACGAATTTACATTAAATTTATAATAATATAAGAGTGATTATTAAATAACACAAATAAAATAAATGATCTTTAGAAATTTGAAAAATCCATTACTTTCTAAAACTTTCAGGTCTCAAATACCTAGTTTTGGAGTATTAAATCATGACAAGTTTCAAAAGAAAGTTGAGGGAAAAGGAAAAGTTACCAAATTTCTTTATGAATTTTGGGAAATCCTTTATTAAGTATGACCTTAAAGTTATTTGTTAGGGCACTTGGGATTAATGTGTAGATGCTAAAATGATGTGTAAGTACACTTTTACATAAAAGAAAACTGCTTTTATGCTATCTGAAATCACAAGAATTAGAAAAGACTTAATAAAATTCATTCCTTTCTCTTTCTTTCTCATAGTTCCAGGAGCAGAGTTGCTTTTACCTCCTTACCTGTATTTGTTTCCTAATGCATTTCCTACTACCTATTTATTTGATGATCAACTTGCAAAGAGATATATTACAAGAGATAGAAAACAAATGAATTCATATAGATATCTGTTTCAATTGATGAAACAACGCATTCCTTCAATTGAAAATATAAGAAACAATCAAGATTACAATGCTAAGGGTTTACAAGAACTTGTTTTAAAGCACTCTCATCTCTTCATGACTAAATTAGATTACAGAGACTTTAATTCAGAATAATTGGTGCACGTATATAAAATTTATGAGAGTTTAGTTATGCAAATTTTTAGGAATGGAGTTTTTTAGAGGAACCTATACAATTATGAAACTCACTAAACTTTTTGTTAATCTCCCTGTCTATTTCACTAATCTCTTCTATTGGATAACAAGAAATCCAGAAAGAAGACCTTTAAATAGTGTTTTAAAAAATTGGAATTCACTTCTTCCGTTTCCACTTGAGGATTTAAAAAAGGCATTGCTTTTAATGTAAATCAAATCTCATCTCAGAAAAGTATAAATGAATCAATAAATATAAAGTTGGAAAGATAAGACAAAGCATTCAGATTAAATGGATTTGGAGATAATAAGTATGAAAGCATAAGATAATTTGCAAGAGAAAGAGGTATTCCAGCATTAGTAATGTAGAAGGAGAATCCTGAATAAGATTTTGAATAGTAACTTATTTTATATTATTTTAGCTCTAAAAAATAATTTAAAAGAGACTACATTGATTTCATAAACAAAGAATAAGTTTTTGAAAATCTCAAAATTTGGTATGCTGTTCTCTATTATGAGAGATATCATAATAGAATTGTTGAAGAATATGAAGAAAGAGTTAGAAAACATTTACTACATTGATATGTTTCCATTAAAAATTATAAATTATGATTTATTATTCTAATTAAATTATTTGATATACCAAACGTAACCCAATCCATTTTTATAACATCATAACTACATGAGTAAATTTTTATAAGTTTAATAGTATTTATGAGATTATTTTTTTTTCTAAAATTTTTTTTCAACTTTTCATAATTTTATAAGAATAATTAAAATTTTGATAATATTTAGATCTTTTAGTTAGTTAAGCATTTTCAATAACTCTTTCTTTAATATTAGATTTATGGAGATTTACTAATAAATTTTTATAGATAATAATTACTGCTACAAGGAAATATGTTTTTGTTTGATTTTATCAAATAATTATGGCAAGATATATATTAAATTTTTTAATTAAAAAATGAATTAAGAAGACATATTCCTTAAGAAATAATGGTTTATCAAGTCTTGTGAAGGAAAGATAGAATAATTCTATGACATAAATCTCAAAAAAGTATTTTATTTTGATAGCAATTAGGTAATTGGGTCTGGCACATATGGAAGTGTTGTCAAAGCTGCATTAAAAGGCACAAAATAATAACGTGCTGTTAAAGTAATTCCTAAATCTAAAGTTAAAAATCCAGAAAGATTTAAAAGAGAAATCGATATTCTAAGAGCTTTGGATCATCCCAATATTATTAAATTATATGAAACATTTGAAGATCAAAGAAATGTTTATTTAGTTATGGAGTATATTTGAAATTAATTTTCAATAGACTATGCGAAGGAGGAGAATTATTTGATAGAATAATGGACAAAGGGTATTTTAATGAGGCTGAAGCACACATAATATTTTTATAGATTATGCAAGTATTTTAATACATAAAAATTAGGCATTGAATTATTGCCATTCTAATGGAATTTGTCATAGAGATTTGAAACCAGAAAACTTTTTATTTTTAACTAAAGCAGAAGATTCTCCTCTTAAAGTTATTGATTTTGGATTGAGCATTCTATTTGAAGAAGGACCTCAAAAGCCTGGTACATAAAAGGTTTCGATGAAAACTAAAGCAGGAACACCTTATTATATCTCTCCTGAAGTATTAAAAGGAAATTATGATGAATTATGTGATATTTGGTCAGCAGGTGTAATATTATATATATTACTCTCTGGTGTTCCTCCCTTTTATGGAGATACTGACCCTGAAATCTTGGAGGCTGTTTAAAAAGGTTAATACACTACAGATATTCCTGAATTTAAATTTGTTAGTGATTCAGCTAAGGATTTGATTGCAAATATGATCACATCTCCAGATAAAAGATATAAGGCTTAATAAGTTTTATAGCATAAATGGATGAAGGAAAAGAATAAGCCAAATAAAGAACTCAAATTGAATTATGGTGCATTAAAGAATTTTGTAGGCAGTAATAAATTAAAAAAGGTTGCCCTTACATTTATTGCATCATAATTAAATGAATAAGAAATTACACATTTAGGAAAGTATGAAATTAATTAAATTAGATTATTTAAATAATTAGATAAGAATGGAGATGGAGTTTTGACTATAGAAGAGATTAGAGAAGGATTAATAGGAATGAGTGATGATTAATCTAAAGAATTAGCAAATGTCATAAAAAGTATTGATACTGATGGGAATGGTAACATTAATTATACTGGTATTAAATAATTAATATTGTATTAGAATTCTTGGCAGCAACTATGGAAAAATAGTTATATATGAAAGAAGAAAAACTTTATTAGGCTTTTAAAATGCTGGATTTAGATGGAAGTGGTAAAATTGATAAAAAAGAGTTATAATAGGTTCTTGGAAGTATTAAATTTAGTTATAATTTAGAGTCTGATAAAATAATTGATGAAAAATATTGGGATGATATGATTAAGGAAGCAGATAAGAATGGAGATGGAGAGGTATATTTAATTCTATTTATCAAATAGATTGATTATAATGAATTTATTGAAATGATGGATAGATTTAGTATTATGAATTGAGATATTCTATATTTTACATACAATTTATTGATCAAAATAAATACCCAATCTTAATTTAATGAAATAATTAATTAATTTATTAAAAAAATGGATCTTTAATAGAATGATTAATAAGAGAATCAAAAGAATATTCAAAGTGAATAAAATTAAGCTTAATAATAAGACAAGGTCAAATAAATTCAAAAGGAAAAAGAAAAATGCTTAGAAATAAAAAACAAAGCTGGATTATTGTTTAACGAATCAAAGTTTGAAGAAGCTGGAAAGATTTACAAGGAAGCCCTTGATTATTGTCCTTTAGAAGATTTAAATATGTTATGTATCTTAAATTCAAATATTGCTATTTGTTTAATGAAATAATCTGATTTTGAAAGTGCCTTGGAACATTGCTCTAAAGCACTTGAATTTAATCCTGAATTTGTTAAGGCTTTATTAAATAGAGCAGAGTGTTATGAAAAAATAGATAAATTCGAAGAGGCATTAGAAGGTATTGTTTAAAGAATATTCTAGATTATAAGAAATTAAAGGAATTATAACCTTAAGATAAGGTTATAATAAAAAAGTTCATTGATTTAGATTTAAAAGTATAAGAAATACAAGAATATTAATATAAAGAAGCTTTGAAGGGATTAAAAAATAATAATGGAAATTCATTATTAGGAAAATTAGGATTGAATGCAGATCAATTTAAATTAGAACAGAATGAAAATGGAACATATAATATATCATATAAATCATGACTCAACAAAATTTACAATTTAATATTTGATTAATCTAACTTAAAAGATAGTCTGGAAAATAATTAAATTAACAAATTTTATTTGTTATATAATTATTCTGTAAATAATATTTACAAAATAAATTAAAAACAATATTTTTTTTTAATTTATCTTTTATATATTCAATTCTCAATTTTTTTATATGGTAGAATTTAGTTATCTTTATTAACCATATATAATTGATCTTCATTATGTTGTAATTCAAAAAATTGTATATTTTAAGAATTATCATTAATTTAAACTTAATTATTTTGTAACATTTCCACTTTTTTTTCAGCATTTCCATTAACTTTAACTTGAATAATTATTTCATCTTGTGAACGTTCAATTATTTGAACTTTTGGATATATTTTTATCTCTTTGCTAAAGACTTTTAATGACATAAGCACATTTTCTTTTATGCAAATATAACCTATTTATGGTTACCCATTTTGACCTATCAAATCTTTAAAATGCTATTAATATTTTTCACTTATTTTAATTTTACCGGTTCCATCTTAGATTTCTTAAACAATAGGTTCAGTGAAAATAATATCTTCTTCTTCTTAATTATCAAAATGTTATTAATTATTTATAAATAATCCAAGCAAATTCTCATTAGCAGAATTTGTCTCTTATTATTGAATCACGTTTTAAGTATTAACAGTTTGATTCTAATTTTAATTCTAATTTTAATTCTAGTTCTAGTTCTAGTTCTAGTTCTAATTTTAATTCTAATTTTAATTCTAGTTCTAATTTTAATTCTAGCCTTTATTCTAGTTCCAGTTCTAGCTCTAGCTAAAATTTTAATTCTTATTCTAGTTCTAGTTCTGATTCTAAATCTAATTCTATTATGGAACTGCTAATTGAATTTAATTTTAATTTTATTATATAAAATTTTGATTTTAATTTTGAACAGGCACTTTCTCTATTTACTCAAAAAACTTCCCTCCTAGATTGAATTATTCTATTTTAGCAATGATTCTATTTTTATTTGTATTCAAGACCTTTTCAACATCTTATTTAATTTTTTGATCACATATAAAATTGATTAAATTGACTAAATAAAAAAAACACTATACTATATGATTCGAATTTGACTTTAGATTTGAATTTAATAATTTAAAGTTATTCTTAACTTAAGATTTCAATCGCATTTTTTTTCTAAAGATAATCAGCTATTTATGATTAAAATGAACCTCTTTAATAATTTATTAGAATACATCTAATTTGTTGGATTAAATTCAAAATTTTTCTTTAGAATATTCACTGTAAATGTTTGAAAGAAATCTTTGCTAAATTCCTCTTACTTCTATTTTAATAGTTCATTAACAATTATTTTAATTCCTTCAGGAGTTCCTAAAATTGCAATTACTTTTAAAGATAAATCAACTTAGCAAACACAAACAAATTGATTATTTTATCTAAAATTAGTTATAAGATTTTCTATATATCTAGCTTAATTTATATTATCCCCTTAGGCATTGAATGATATGAAAATAGCGAATAATGATTCAATAGTTTTTTTAATATATGTAAAAATCTCTTAACATTATAAAGATTTTCCTTATAAATCAAAAGGAAAATGAAATCCTAATATAGCAGAACTATATGGTTTTTATTTATCGATGACATCTATAAATTCTAAATTTGAGAAAGTTTTTTCAAGATCATCCTAAGTGATTTTTTGAAAATAATTTTATCTTAAATTTGCTAATAGATACTTATAATCTATATTAATTTTTGGAGATGTCATATGATTAGCTACATCTAAGAAAAATATTCTTAATCCTTTTAATTTTTATTCTAAATTATATACAACAATATTTAAGTCATCTTTTTTGCTTACCAAATAAATTTCAATAATTTGATCACTATTTTTTTATTTAATAATATAATATTCTTGCTTTGAACATTAAATCTATATATAATTTGATCTAAAAAAAGTACGTGAACTATCATAATCCAATCCTAATTTTTTTGTTTAAATAGTTTTAAGATATTTATTTATTTCATTTTTAATTCCTTCATGAAGATTTTCATCTGCCTCAGTTTAAATAATCAATCCTTCTCTTACAATTTAAAAATTCAATTCTAAACTTAAAATTAATTATTTGAATTCTTGAACATAATATTTTTGTAAAGAGATCAATTTTGCATAATCAGGAATTTCAATTTTAAAAGTTTTGGTATTAGCAAAATTAAAGGTAATATTTTAAGTTTCTTCTAATTAATCTATCTCATTATTGTCTTAAAGTAGAATTTATTCTTCTTATTAATCAAAGTTTTGAATAATCTAATTAGTTTGATTCTAAACATCATCAAGAAGACTTTCATCTTATTTATATGAAATATTATTCATAATTAAAATTTATTAAATTTTTTTTTTTTTTTGTTATAAAATAAATGTTTAAAGTATAAGATGATGATTTTAATATATGTATTTATTAAAATAAATTGAATTTATTATATTTAAAGATTGTGTAAAGTAGTCTTTTATAAAAAGAAATTGACCATTATAAAAGGGAATATTTTAAAATGAATCAATGAAATAAAAATTTTATATTGAAATTGTAAAATATACTTAAAGTTAATATATTAAATCTTGTAATTACTTTTTAAAAAATGGTTAAAGCAAAAAAATTAAATGATCCAGAAACTCCACTAAAATAAATAAAAAAAAGAAATTTCATAGATCCTTAATTTAAGCTTGGTCTAATAAATAGTGTAGTGATTGATCATCTAACTATATATTAAGTTTTTAATTTATTATATTCTTTAGGCAGCAATATTACATAAAATCAAATATTCTTCAGCTAAACATATTATAAGAAATTATCTCAGCGATAAAGATAATTTTTTCTCTAAATAGAAAAAAAACAAAAGGGAAATGATTATAAACAATTCAAAAGTAATAATTGATGTTAATTCTGGGAAAATTAAAATCATCAAAACTAATCATACTATTTTTTATACAAAATAATAATAAAATAATAATTAATCTATTATTAACAATATCCTATCAGATTTATCATATTGCTTATTAAAAGAAATAGTGAGATCATAAAATAGTCATCTTAAATATCCATAATAATTTAAACTAAAATTACCTTAAATATATCTATCATTTGATTAACAATTATCAAAAATTAAGACCACACTCAACATACAACATTAGCAGATGAATTCAAAATGATTTTTTATATAGTTTTAATACAAAGATATTAAGTAAAATATAATTAAATTAGAATTATTTTAATAAATTTCTAAAAATAATTTCTCTAATTTACATTTTCATACATTTTAAAATCAATTTACAAACTCTATAATATATAGATTTGCTGTTATGTGAGGTGATCATAGTCATTTTTTAATCATATTTTTTAAAATTAACTTGTTGAAAATTCTATTATTCTAATTGATTAAATTTTACGGACTTTATCATGATTGCATCAAAAATTTAAATTATAATTTATAATGAATTTCATAAAAAGCTCTAATTTATATTTATCAATAATTTGGGAAATGCATAATCCTATTAGTTTAAATATTAATTAGAAATATTTTATTCATCATTATTATTCACAAGTGAAGACTTTATAATTAAATCTTTATAATTTTGCATCAGATTATTAAAATATTATGAATATAAATTCCATATATTCCGAATACGCTAAGAATGATGAAACCTTAAAAAATGCTAAATTTCTAGATCGTAAACTAATCTAAAAAAATCAAACAAATGAGATTGATGAAGAATTTCTTAAAAAGAAAGAAAAAAGAAATCGTAAGTTTTTTTTAAAACGATCTATTTCTTTGTTGTAGATCTGTAAATAGAGTGGCAAGATAGATTTTTAAATAGGATCAGATTTCCTCCATATAGAGATTATGTAAGGTGGCCATTACCCTCATAATTAATATAATTTTAAAGAAGTTCGTTCTGAAGTATATCTGGATGATACAGAGTTTTAATCATCTAACATAACATGTAGCTTAGAAAATGCTTCTAAAAGCATTCTAAAAAAGTGTCGAAATTTGTAATCAGAACAAAATTGCAAATCTTTCTCACAAATATAATAATAATTCAAAGAAGTTAATTAATTCTGCTAACTTATTAAGAAATAGGATAATCAAAAAAATTGTCAACTCGATTCTTATTTATTAGACGCCGTTTTAATCAATTAAAATAATTAGTTTGATCAATAAATACAAGAAACAAAATAAATTTTAATTGAATAGCATTTAGCTATTATAAATAGTCTATAAACTTGAATATATAACTTAGCATTAAATATTTTTTTTTTATTTTATAACAGTTTCCTATTTAGCGATGAAACATTTTCTAATTTTTGTTTTAAATTATTAATAAACCCAAAGTGATTTTTTTTAAATATTCGTTTAACTTATAAATAGTTAATAGATTGTTCTATAACTTTAAGCAAATGGATCAAGATCAAGTATTAAATTTAAAACTAAAGCCTTAAATATGTTTTATCATATTTACTTTTTACTGAATAAAATTAACTTGTTCTCATGATCTTCTAGACCATAAATTTTGTTATTATTAAGAATAATCATTCTAAATCATAAGTTATGATCAAGATTTTCATTATTGTAAGAATATCCTACTATTAGTTCCTTTCATATTATAATTATTGATGAATGGCTGGAAAACGAATTTTAAATTAATTAAAAATATCTTTATTAATATTATAGAAATTGTTAAACTTAAATAATTATTTATAAGCCAATCAAATACTCAAGCATCTATGTAATTTAATTCATATCTAAAAGCTATAATAAATACAATATCTATAAATTTATTACCAAGTATATTAAAAATTAATAAAGCTATCTAATGATTCTATAATTAATCTAATTCTATGATTTTTTTGAAAATTACTCATTCAATCCAAAATATAATTAGCCCCTTTCTCAAATTTTATATTATTATAGGTGTTTTTAATTAAATTATATTTGAAAAATATAATTTAATTACCATTTAGTATTTTGAGTAAAGAAAAGTAAAATTAGAATTCATCCTCAAAACTTCGTAACACCTGCTAAATATAATAAATATCAATGTTATATAATTAGTCATTTATAACTATATTTAATTTTTGATGGCATTGTTCATATTCTACTTAATATTTACCTAATTTTTTAATCAAGATGATAAGCTCAAATTACTCCTTAGTTTTATTAAATGCAAATAGTATATCAATTAAATTTCCTTAATTTAATAGCAAATTCTAATTAGTATATATTTTAAAGCTGTTTAATAAAAAAAATATTTGTTGTTGATAATAATATTTTTATATAATTATATAGAAAATCTACATAAACTAAAATTACAAGCTTTTAAATAGTATTTTTGTAATAAAATTTCACTAAAAAATTAAATTATTCCTCAGAAAAGATTATTATGATACATTTTTATATTAAAATTAAAAGAATTATGGTTTCTAAATGTTTAAAAAGGAATCTTTAAATTTAAGACTGTGTAAATTTATAGACTACTCTGCTATGATTGAATAGGTTGCCCTCTTGGCCAAGTGGTTAAGGCATCTCCCTAGTAAGGAGAAGATCGACGGTTCGACCCCGTCAGGGGGCTTTTTTTTTATTTGATTAATTTAAAGTATTTTTTTTATTATTTTTTGTATAATAAACATTTATATTTTTATAATGAAATCGGAGCCAGATCAAATAATGGAAAAAAGCCCAAAAGGAAGATTTATTAGAGTATTAAAATAACAATGCTAAAAGGCAGTTTAATGAACAAATCGGGAAAGGCACATATAAGACTGTTTATAGAGGTTATGATGAAGAGTCTGGGTGTGAGATTGCTTGGAATGTGATTCATTTAGATCAATTGCCATAATGTATCATAAATTAAAAATTGTATTTTAGAAGAGGAAAGGAAAAGAATATCTGAGGAACTTAGTATTCTCAATAATATAAAGCATCCAAACATAATAAGTTTTATCAATGCTTGGGTAAGCAAAAATAAAAGTGAAGTTATTTTCATAACAGAAATAGTACATGGAGGATCACTAAAGAAGTATAAAAATAATTGATTTTAGACATTTGAGAAAAATTTAGCGACCTAGATTGAAAATACTCAAACATTGGTGCAGGGAAATTTTGAAAGGCTTAGAATATTTGCATAGTATTGTACCATATCCAGTGATACATAGAGATATTAAATGTGATAATATCTTCATAAATACACATAATAACTAAGTAAGAATAGGTGATTTTGGTTTGGCCATAAAATTAAAATAATCAGATTTTACATAATCTGTATTAGGAACACCTGAATTTATGGCTCCAGAGATATATGAAGAGAAATATGGTCCTTCTGTTGATATATATGCATTTGGTATGACATGTTTAGAGATGGCTACTTAAAAAAGGCCATATGAAGAATGTACAGCTCCTAATCAAATTTATTAAAAGGTAGTAATAAAAATAATTAAATAAGGTTATGAATAGAATAAAACCAAAATCTTTAGATTTAATTTAGAATTAAGATTTAAAAGATTTTATATTAAAATGTTTGGAAGATTAAGAAAAAAGACCAACTGCTACAGAATTACTTAATGATAAATTTTTATAAGAATAAGAAGATGATCATTAACATGTTGTGATTTTAGAAGAGGAATAATTAGAAGAGAATTTATAAAATGATGCACTTAAATATAATCCAGTATTTAGAGAATAATTAGATTTTAATAATTCAATTTTGATATAATTAAATGATAGTGATGAAATGCATATCAAAATTACATTTATTGATTAGTCTGCATATAATTAAGAGTTTTAAGAATTCACAAAACTAATTGTTTAAAAGTATTCAGATCTTCAAAATAATGAATAATTTGTATAATTTTAAGAGCAAAGTAAAAGGTTATATTAAATTAGTAATTAAATTTGGTGGAGTTGAAAAGGTTTTTTGGGTTAAGCCAAGTGAAGAATCTAAAAAGATAATGAAAACATAATTTATGTAGTCGCTCGAATCATTTCAATAAGTAAAAATAAATATTATAATAGACTATATCACCTCTTTTATAGGATGTCGATATAAATGAATGGGAATTGATTGAATAATAACTTTTAGTTTAATTTTAACAATAAAGAAAGTAAATCAAATCAAAATAGGCGATTTGAATTAACATATGATATATTATTCAAAAAAAGACAATCCTCAATATAGTATTTATCATACTTGAAATGCAATTGATCATTTTTCTAATATTTAATTAAATAATTACCAATAAGTTTAGTAAACAAAATGTTTTTCATAATTAATCAATATATTATTCTTGATATCTGAATATGTTAATAACCAGATTAACAATATTATTAAAGATTGACTTTTATTTGAAGAGAGAAATTTATTATCATTAATATTATTTATATAATGAGCAATAAAAATCCAATTATGTAAGACAATGCCTAAAATAATAACTCTTTGATTTAAGAAAATGATTCAAAAGTTATTAATAATAAAAGTCAAGCACAGTAATTAACTGAGGAATAGAAATAATAATAAGTATGATCCTTAATATCATATTTAAGATGGATTAATTTAAGAAATTTTTACAGTAAACAGGCATATCTGATGCATTTTAAGTTATTTTTGCTGAGATAATTGATAAAAAATTAAAAGAGGAAGATAGTTATAAATATACAGCTGATAGATTAAGAGAGATTGGAAAAGGTTTAAGTACAGAATAAATGGTAATTTAATTATTTATTTTAAATAGAAAGCAAAATCAGAGATGTAAAAAAGGGAATTAGCAGAAAAAATGAAAAAAAAATGAGTGACTTATATTTATCATTCTTATTATATGTTTAAAACTTATAATAAATATTATTCATTTATTACGTCTTGATAAAAATTTACTAAGCTTTTCTCCATTTAAACTAATTGATAAATGAAACTCATGTATTTTAAAATCAATATATTATTTCTAATCAATTTTTATTTATATAAATATTAATTTCATATTAAGTCAACTTCTTCATCAGAAAAAGCTTAATTATATGTAAATGGTGATTATTTCTTCTTAAAAGATAAAGAACTTGATTTCATAAATTTTTAATTTGATAGAATGAGTTGTACAATTTCAAATATTTGTTCATAAGGAACATTTTATTCATTAAAATGTAAAGGATGCTAATCATATAAAAATGATGTAATTTTTTCTGCATCGTTGATTTGAACCATCTCATTAAATTATATCTTATACATTTTAGTTTTATTGTCAGGTCGTCTTCTTTAGTTCAACATTCTTACTTATAAACTAATCCTAGAGCAGGAGGGTAATATTGACATACAATTTTTCTAGCTTTAACAGGTTTCTTAGAAACAAAACTCATAGCAAAATGTAATAATTAATGTTAAAAAAATTTCAAAATTATAGATATTACATTATCATAGTATATTTTGAAAATGCAAGATTTATAAATGTATATATCAAAAATAAATACTAAAAAGTAAAACAGTTTGTCAACAACACCAAGTTTCTGTTCTTCTAGACTATTTAAATAAGTCGTCTTTTAATTTTGCATTTTCATTTTGAAGCTATTAAATCATTAAGTTAAGCATATTTATTTCTTAATTCTCTTACAAAATGTATTATTATTAACTTTGAATTCTAGAATATGGTACCTATGTCTATTATTCATACATTTAACTTTGATTTTGTTTATATTATTAATAATCATTGTATAGTTTTCTATAATTTTGTTATAGATTTTCAATCTCATTATTAAGTTCATCTATAAATTAATCATATTTAATGTCATGTTTATTTTATAAATTTTATACTTCATTTTTCAATTATTTAATTGTTATATCAGATTAATCAAGTTAACTTTTTTTTTATTGAAGTTATTGAATTAAAGAATTAATTTCATCTTACTTTTATTTTGAATTGATTAAGGCTTCTTGAATTTCATTATTCAATTTTTCAATTTATAAGTATAACACTTAAGCATTTTTTTCATAATTTTCTTTGTTTATTTATTTTAAATTCATTAATTCTTCTCTTAATTAATCACACTCCTCCTCTCTATATAGTATTAATAAGCATATTACTTTCTTTCAAATTTAAGTCTCCATTAATTAATTGACGATTGCATACCTTCAAAATTTTTTCTGATTTATTCTTAATTTAAATTCTCTTCTAATTATTCCCTTAATCTCTCAATCTCAGTTGCCATTAAAAACATAACTATTTTACAAAAGTCTATATCTTAAAAAGATAATCTCTCTCTTCTAGATTATTATTAATTAGATTCATAAAGAGATATTCTTTAAGTTAACGAATTAGGTCGAACATTTCTATATTTTTCTTTTTCATCATAATCTGGTTATTAAATCTGTCTTTACGAATTTTAATGTGTTTGTTTTGTGTACTCTAGTAGTCTATCAACTGCTTAAAAATCTATTTCTTTTTATTTTGGTTCTTAAAATGAATAATTAGAGTTTCTATACATTCAATTTACTTTTTATTGATTTAACTTATTTTTTAATAATATTTTTTTAATCTTTAAAACCTGCTAATTTCTGCCAAAAATAATTTAAAGATGAGTATTTTTTTTTTTAAATTGATAAAAAATATAGCTATCAGTATGGGTGTTTTTAAAAATTATGAAACTGCTTTTTATTAATAAATTAGATACTTCAGAATTTGATATTGCGAAATATAAAGAGTTATAAATAAATAAGGAAACATAGATTGGTTATTCATCATTTACTTACTATTAGTATAATTTTCAGTATTTAAAATCTTGTAGTTTTATGCTATGAATATTAGCATGATAAGATTATTATTAAAAGTTATTTCGAATGATAAAATTTAGTAATGTCTTAAATATCATCATTATGAAATTCTACTTCTATCATTGGGTATTTAAACAATTAAAAAATAAAATAGAACAAAACAAAACAAAACAATAAAGAAAATAAAAGTTAATATTGAAAATAACAAAGATGGAATTTCAAATCCTTAGACTTCAATTTAAATTAATTTTGGGAGAATTTTGTAATAAAAATTGTAGGTTTCTTTATTATGATATAGAATTTAAACCACAATATATTATTAATAAAAAATTATAAAGTTTCTTATTTTTATTTGAGTATTTTCAATTATTCTAATAAATTTGAAAAATATTATAATAATTATAATATTGTATATACAATCAGTGTATTGATAAATCGATGCTGATTATTGCAGCAATCTCTTCTATATGCATTAGAATATAGTTTAAGGAGATCTTTTAAATACTTAATAATGTCATATATATTTAATTGCGAATCAAATTAGTATCAATGGTCTAAAGGTCTTTTTGATAGTTTCAAATTTTTATTTTAGACTGTCAAACTCAACAGTTGGTTCAATTGAGTCAATCTATTGAGGTTTCTTACTTTGATATTCAACTTTTAGAATTAGATTATGTTTTACTTTTTTTAAAGTAGGGATGGTATACTACAATACCATCATTAGTTGTTTGGACACTCTGTATTTACTATTCACTCTATCTCCTCATTTGTTCTGGATTTTGATTGAGATTTGTTAATAAGTTTTGAATTAAAGACATTATCTAGTATTATAGAAATTGATTACTCCTTCTTCAGTTTATTCCTTTTTAGGTTTTTTAATAGTTGGTTTTTTTGGCTTTAATACACAGAATTAAATTTCTAAATCAAATAATTATCCATTATCATGTGGATAGATGCAATCAAGCCAATCAGTCATAAATCCATATTCATACACTAAATAATATTGAACTAAACTACCTTTCTTTTATTCTTATACTTTCTTTTGTTAATACTTGTCCTATTTTTAATCTGATTTCTTGGCCGATGGTTTTTGTTCCTTGATCTCTTAAAGCATTTCTTTAAAGTTCTCAGTCATTTTCTTTTATCTAGAAGATTTACGAACTAAAGAATCACAGAACGTGTTACCTTAGGCTGCTTCTTCTTGCTTCATACTCATTTACTTCAATTTTTTTATTTATCAACTCAATCAAAAACTAACTTAAAAAGCCGCTTTCTTCTTAGATAATATAACATATTATAATATATGATCATTCTTGTTGTTAATTCTATTGATTTTATTCCATTAATTATTATTATTCTTATTAGATTTACTCTCTCCTTCTTTATTCCAAATATTTTCTATTAGTCTCTTAAAGTTCTTTATTTAATCTTTCTATATCGTATTTATATTCATTGATCTATAATTAAATAAAAACATCTAATACCTAAGCCTAATACATATTTAATTCTGCAGCTAAACTTTTCATTTGTCTAGTCTTGGCTTTCATTTATTCTTATAATTTAGATATTTAAGTTGCTTCTTCCAATCCTGGTTGCTTCCTCATAATATCTCTCAATTCAAGTATTTATTTTTCTTTCTATTGAATAAGTACTTCTTTCTCTACTACTTATTCAGTCTTATAGATGAGTCTTCTTTACAATGTTTTTATTTTTTATTTCATTTCATAAACATCTGGATCACTCTAAAATTAATAAAAATAATTACTCCTCCTAATTTCTTGCATCTTTAAGGATTTAATGGATTTTCTAATTCTTCACTTAATGCTTTCACTCTCAATTTTTCCTCAACTAAATCTTTTTACAAATTATTTATCTTTTCCTTTAAAATGGGAGCTTAACCAGCCTTCTTTCTTTTTATTTTCAATTCTCTTTATAAATCAGAGATCTTGAATTTTAATAATTCAATATCACTAAGTCTTTCTCTATATTATTATTCACCAAAAGCCAAAGTTTCTTATTATACTTTAATTTTTTCATATAATAATGCTGATTCATCATTCCTTCTAATTAATTAAGTACCAAGAATATCTCTTTCAGATACTACTGTTTCATATTCCTCTTTAAGTTTCTATCTCTTTATTTCACTATCTTTTAAAACAAAATGTAATTTAGATATTTCACCAACATAATTTTTGATTGTTTCTTCTTTCTCCTCAATTTCTTTTCTGTTCTTCTCTAGAATTCTACAACATTCCTCTATAGTTTTATCCTTCTTTTTATGTTCAAAATGTTCCTTAGCTAATGCTACTTCTTTTGCATCAATTTCTTCTTTTAATTATGCAATTTGATGTTAAACTATTTTATGTCTTCTTTTTATAACAGCAATTTCATCTTATGTTTCTAATAAGTTTTTAGAATATAAATTTCTATCTGATCTTACTTCCTCATATAAATGTTATTATTATTTTAATTTATTATCTGTTTCTATATTTTTCTTTTAAAATTCACTTATTAAATTATCTTTCAATTTAATTTCTTCTTAAGAATGTAAAAATTTTGCATTTATTAAAGCAGCATCCTTTCCAAACTTTTCCTTTTTCTTTGTATTTATTACAAATTACTTTTCTCTTTCATCTACTTCTTCTTATAGTGATAATATTTCTTTTTCATATGATTCTATCTCCTTATCAATTAAATTAATTTTCTCATTTAATTTACTATTATATTCTTCTGATTTTGCTTTATGATTAGCAAAATTAATATGTGCTTTTCTCAATTCTTCAAGTAACTATTAATCTTATTCATTAAACTTCTTTGTATCTGTAACATGTCTATCTAATTATTATATTGAATTAATTGCAACCTCTTTATCCTTTATAATTTTATCTCTTTATTTTTATAAATCAAGTAATTTCTTATTTAAATTATTGTTTTTCTTTTCTACTTAATTTAAATGAGTTCTAGCATTATTTTTCTCATTCTTTAATTTAATTATTTCAGCCTCATTACTTTCTCTAATATCTTCATTTTCTTCTTTTTTATTCATAATTTCTTTATGTATTTTTTTAACTTCAGCCACTTAATCTCTTAATTTTCTGAGTTCATTTTCTTCAATTTCTTTATCTTCATCCTTTTTCTATAATGTTTCTGTTTATTTCTTTAATTCAATTTAGACTTTTGATAAATCTTCTTTCTATTTTTCATATTCTTTTTTTGTTTTTATATAATTCTACCTTAATTATTCTAATTCTTCATTAATATTATTTCTTCTTTATTCATCCTTATCTACTTTCTCTTACATTTCTTATAAATTTTTTTTGAGTTATTGAGAACTTTAATCAAGTATTAATTTTTCATTTTCTAACAGTTTCAATTTTTCAATTAGATTACCTGTTTCTGATCTATTTTTTATTAACTCTGCTTATAAACTGTCCCTTTCTACATTATATTATATATTTATACCTTTCATTAAATCCTCTTTCTAAGTTTAGAGTTCTGTAATTTTGTTTGTTTAACTCTATAGAGCATTACCTTACTCAACTAAATCTTATAAATGCTTAATTTCTGCTTAAAAGTTTTCAATTTTCTATTTCAATTTATCTTCCCTCATTTATGCTTATTCTATAACTTTGTAAGTGTTATCAAGTTCAGTTTTTAGTAACTTAATTCTTTCACTATCTTCTTGTGAAAATTTCAGTGCATTTGTTACTTTGCCAGCATTATTTAAAATATCACTATTTATATCTCTCAATTTTCTTAGTAATCTTCTCTCTTAATCATAAGCGTTTCGAAATGCTTGATGTAATTTTGTATATTCTGATCTAAATCTTTCTAAAGCAGGCTCATTAGCTAATTCATTGATAATCTATTAATATTTTCAAAGACATTTTACTTCCTAAAATTCTCTTTCTAAAGCATCTCTATCTTATTCAGAGAAACCCAAATCTTCCATTTATTTTAAAATAAAATAATTATTTAATATAATAATACCTGAAAACTATAAACAACAAAATATTAAATGTTTTGAGTCGAACAAATAAACTTAAATTCATCTGAGATTCTTTAGAAGATGAAAATCTTTGATATAGAATTAATGGATAATTAAATCATAAATGATAACTACAAAAATAGCTTAACCTGAGAAATTAGATTCTACATATCCCAACATTATTTACTAAATTATTATAGAATAATTATTTCATGAGAGATGGCTTAAAACAAATAAAGAAAAATACTCTTGGGCACTTGAATATCTAAAACATAAATCTCAAGAATTATTATTGTTGGAGGCCTAAACATAAGAGAAAAGTAAGGTTAGTAAATATTTAGTAAATTAATTTTTTGAAGAAAACAAATAAAGTGAATAAGTTATTAAAATTTTTTATATTTACACAACTATTAAATAGGATCAAATTTTAAGACTTGTTAGATTAATTTGAATAAAAAATTATTCAAATATAAATATTGTTTAAGACAATAAACTCTTATTTATTATCAAATATAAATTCTTACCATTAATAATTCTATTATGAAAAGAAGAAAATATTATATTAAATCATTAACAGACATTTTTAAAAATAAATAAAATTTAAATATTAGATTAATGGTATAGATATTATTATTATAATCAATTCTCTAGAATATAAAATAAAATTACCTTCTTCATCCTATTCATATTGTTCTCCTTCTTATTCGCCTTCTCCTTCTCCTTCTT